TGTGCGTGCGTGTGTACGTTACACGTCGTGTGAGGCCGCACGTGCGGCACGGCGTGGAAGGGGGTGTCGGTGGGTGCGTGCGTCGGTGTACGTAACACGTGCTGTAGCTCGTGCGTCGCGGTGGTTGCATGTAGCACGCTGTGGCGTGCGTGTGTGTGCCCACCAGGGAAGAATTATTCCCGGTTCGCATCCAATTCGCGACTGTATTTTCAGCCATTGGGGCCTACGCATATTTTTTTATGAATCCAGTTGTGCCGACTGCAGCCCATGCGAGATGTAAACCGAACATACATGTTTACAATTTACTTATTCATTCTCGGCTTGCTGCTTCTGCCGCGTCAAATTGAAATGCCACGTTACCGCCGGCATTTATGATTGATTTGTTAACACCCCGGCCAACACGTGACTTTCTAAACAATCCTGCACTTCCCCCCCCCCCCGTACATCAATCAATATGCCGCTCCCCAGGCACGGATTATTAACACAGCCACCGCTGGGCTTGCGCTTGGCACGCCTCTCGCGGGTGCTTTCTTCGGCGACCTTTGATATATAAAGTGAGGATGTCGTGGTCGAGGAGTCAGATAGCCGCCCTCACAATCGCCTAGAACTGTATATCAATCAATGTTTTGGACATACTATAACGTAAGGAACAACATCTTGGATGTAAAGCTCTAGACAAGTAGTTTTTACCTCGCCAAACATGGGCGAGTCAGCTCTTAGCTTCACGTGGCTGCCGGGTCCGCAGGCACCGACATTGGCGATGTGTGGGGACGGTCAGCTCGTACCTCGTTTAAACGCTGGCGGGCAGAGTGCAGAATCGCCTACGTGGTCCTGAGGCTTAAGCCTAGCTGTGACCTTGTCACAGCCAGACACGATAACACGCCGAAGCATGCATGCGGTAATAAGATAAATTATAAGCAAAACTAAGTGAATTGTCTGAAAAAAAAATGCTATACAAATTTATCCAATTGCTGAATGCCAAAATTTATTTTGTTATATTATTAATTGACAGTTGCTTTGCAATTTTTGGCTTGGACAATTGATTCCCTCTGCTGCACCTGTACACGTGCCCGTGACCTGACCGCAGCTGTGTGCACGTACCACGTTGCTGTGTGTGCACGTACACCGTGCGTCTGCAGGTGCGTGTAGTACGTACAACGGGCAGTGCGTGCGTGGGTACGTACCGCGCGTGCGTGCCGTGGCGTGTGCACGTAACGTGCGTGCTGTATGGTACCACGTGCGTGCATCGGCGTCGGTGCACGTACACGTGGTTGGCGTGCGTGCGGTGCGTGGGTGGTGGTGCATCGTGACCAGCGGTGCTGGCGTCGCCGTATGTGTGCCTCGTTTACACGTACGGTGTATGCACGTCACGGTGCCGTGGCTGCGTTTGTGGTTACGTGACCGGGCGTTACTGTGCTCCGTGCGTGCAGTGCGTGTGCACGTACACTACGTGCGTGTGCACGGTACACATGCGTCGGGTGCGCTGGCGTTGTGTACCGTATCACGGCCGCGTGCGTGGCATGTGCACGTACCGTGCATGCGTGCTTGTGCACGTACACCGTGCGTGCCGTGTGCATACAGCCCGGTGCGTGCTGTGGCGCACGTATAAGGGGTGATGGGGGTGCGTGTGCCGCACCGTACACGATGCGTGGTGCTGCACGCTACACGGCTAACTACCGAACTGGCGCTTATAACGAAACAATGCCAAGCCGATGACAAAAGAAGCGTCAAAGGCGCCGCATGTCTGTGTAGTAGCGTAATTAGGTTAGCTCATCTGACATAGTCGATGCAGCTTGTAGAATGCATGATCGTCCGGTCCGTCGTCCGTGGTGTCGTCAACAGTTGGGCACAAATTCTAACGGCTTGACGTCTACGGTTCACGATATTCCAGGACGTGGGCGGTAATTTCGCAAAACGAGTCTGGGATGTAGAACGCTGCGGGCTCAAAGGTCAAAGGCTCAAGAGTCGTGGGTTAATTGAAAGAGGGATACTTCTCTTTAATTAAGGGGTATAGGGAGGAAATGCAGGACGTTTGCGTGCACACACAATCTAAACGGCTCGACCTAGCTCGTGATAGTCTGGTGATATAGCCAATCATATGGTAGGAAAAGCCATCACTGTGCCGAATTGGACCGGTCACAGGTCAAAGGGTCAATGGGCACGGGCAGAATTTTAAAGACAGTTTTCTGAGGACATGGTCTGACGGGAGCGATTGACAAAACTTTTTGTTTCACCGGTGACCTAAGCATTGTATGGCATTTATTGAAAGGACCATGAAAAATAGTCCTGTTCGGTGGGTTGTTCCTGACATGTGAAGAGTACAGTGTCAGTAACCTTTTGACCCTCAAGGAGGAGGCGGTTAACATGGATTTGTTGACTGTCTGTTAACAAGAATTATGACTGCCGGGTTTGCTAGTAGAAATCTATAATGCCTGGATGCACGGGCTCGAATTAAGACCGGGGCACCGAGCGCACGATTGGCGCGTCGGTGCCCCCTATCAAATCGCCGTACTGCCCCTGAAAATGCCAACCCGACCGACGGCAGTGGACCTGCCTCTGCCCTTCTTACTGTAATTGCGTCGGTGCCTTCTGGCTAGACTGGTTTCGCGGCCGCACTGGTTTTGTCGCAGAGCGTGCTACATTGTCAGCCAAGGCGTGAGGCCGGTACCAGTCTAACCTCTTCGGCAAAAGACAATACTACTATAACGTGCTCGCTGGCAACGCTGCCAGCTAGGGGGTGTGGAATACGTCCTCGAAATCGTCGCGCGCTGTGTATGCTCCGTGAGGAAAGATTGTGCAGCGAATATTTAAATTGCTGCACGTGGACTCGCCCGGCGCTGCGATTTAAAGCGCGCGGGAACAACGGCCTCACGCAAGACATGGCCAGCCTGTGATGCTGTACGGTGTGTAGGCTTTGTGTAGAATTATTACTGATTGACAGAAAGTTTTTTCATACACATTGTGGTCTGGGGCTGGGCTAGTGAAAGTTAGGTCAGGGCTAGTGGTTTTCCTCAGGTACTTCCATTAGCAGAGGGGGGTACAGGGTCGATGTTATATACGGTGTAAGCTTACATGGGGGCGGAAGACGATGTACATGCTGGCGGGACACGGGTCTGTTACATACCACGTAAAAAACAAAGTGCCTTGGTGCCCTTCTCAAATTGTGAGAGTTGCGCTTGATCCCTTTTAAAATTGCCTCGGTGCCCATCCATTTTAGAGAAAATTCAAGGCAATTTCTCACATGCCCCCAAAAAATTGCCTTGCCCCTCTTGTCGCTTAATTCGAGGCCTGCCTGGATGTATGAGGCTACAATGTCACAGTGAAATTTCAAAAGCTAAATTTGGTTAAAGAAGGTTGATGCTCCTTAAATCGTATAATTTCTATGGCATTCTGTACGTCAGTATGTTACATGTAACGTATGCCACTGCCAGTGGCTACTGCCAGTCGCATGTGTTGGTGGTACTGTGTAGTTTTTGCCTGCGTTAATTGGTTACATGTGGCAGCTCTCTATTGCAGCCTGTAGGCTTGCGTAGGTAAATGGATGAGTGCTTACCTATTCTGTCTTGCAAATAGTTTGTGCTACTACGTACGATGGGAGCTTCCATCTTTAATCTGAAGGCACTTAAACGTACGCGCCATCTGTCGGCAACTTTGATAACGATCCAACGAACATCCTTGAGAAGGTTCCTGATACGCCATCCCTGTGCATTCCACTGTTTCCGGGCATCTGTATGTGAACACATTTGGGACTAACAGGGTTTACTAGAATCCCACCACTCCACCACAGAGTTACCGCAGTAGACGTTAGATGAGCGCTGTCGCTCCGCGGCACTTGTTTATTTATTTCTAGTTGAGTAGTAATTTTATAATGTTTTCTCAATAAAATAATGTATGCTGCGGTATGCTGAGTGGTTTACGGCACCTCGTCAGCTCGTGTAAAGTTACGCAAAGGTTTACGTAAATTTTAGCTTGATGAATCGCACCTAAAACGGCCTCGCTTGCGTACACGAAATCGTACGCAAATTTACTAAATAGCTGTGTTGATGAATCGCAACTGAGCAACGTCGATTGCGTACACAAGATTTACGCAAATTATTTTGCGTACGCAGCTTGATGAATCTACCCCCTGGAACTTACTATGTTAGTATGTATCACAATACTCTGTATTAAACTATTATAACCGGTTACAAAATTTCGAAGTGACGAGCGGTGATATTTTGAGCGTCATTTTGTTGACCTGTGACATACAGATTCTCAATACGCATAGCGTTCGGCTAACTTCGTCATGACGTCATGACTGAAATCAGGCATCCCATGATACATTCAATCTTGGAGTCGAAGTTAGTCGAACGCTATGCGCATTGGGAATCTGTACGTCACAGGTCAACAAAATGGCGCTCGAAATATCACCGCTCGACACTTCGAAATTTTGTAACCGGTTATAATAGTTTAATACAGAGTATTGTGATACATAGTAAGTCCCAGGATAGCGAAGAAAGGTTCGTGTTTAGAATAAACCCAGTTTGGAAGTTGTAGTCTCGAAAAACACACAATAAAACCGACCTGAGTGAATCGCGTTGTAACCCTATCCTGTGTTTGGGTTACATTATTGTATCTAACCCCAGTATAGCTCTAGTAACTATAGCCCGCGTATGCGGGCTATAGTTACTATCTAGAGCTAACCCCAGTAATGGGCAGCTATATAAACACCCGCACCCTCAGATTAGCAAAGCGGAGTTATAACGTCTGCGTGCGGACAATGATCGCCTGACCTCGTCTGTCTGTCATCGGCATCGTCATGAAATCCAATTCTATTTTCTAGGTCACCATAACACGCCGCATGGTTAGCGGCGATTAACGCTACGTTCATAATTTTATAATTCGGTTATAATTTTGTTTACCCTCGATTGAGTAATATAAAGTAATACTTTCCAGCTAGGGCAGTAAAATCGTCGCTACAATTTTACTCCCCCAATTTCACGAAGGTTGAGAGTGGAAGAACATCGGCGGATGCCGCGAGTAAGTGTGTCGAAATCCTAATGTCTGTCATGTCCTTCAGGTTTCGCACGCATCAGGAATGTTGTGTTCTAACACATCGTACGGAGGAACGTATTAGTGAGTATAAATGAAACGCGGTGATACTATCGTTATCATGCAGAAGTTACTGCGAAACAGTAATAGCCATTGTCACTTAAGGATACACTCAAGCGTTTGCATTGGTATTGCTCTAATGAAGTGTAAACGATTATTGACAAATTAATGGAATAAATCACACGTTTTATTTATAGATCAGATGTATCTCTACTACGCTGAAGCCAAAAAAAATTCATGAAATTTCTAGCACCCAAATAAATAACCATAACTCATAAAAGACAGCACTTTTAAGATATCAAACGGCTCACTACTAGTGATGTCACGATCATCGATTATACTCGATTATCGGCTGAACAGTGGCTCGAACAAGCGGCTGGTTACAAAAATCCATAATCGATCTTTCATCGGGAAAAAAAAATTGAAATAAATGTAAAACTGAAAACAAGAAAACTTGAAAGTGATGAGAAATCACAAGATATCGATCGCTACTATAGCAAGCTTATCCTTTTTAAAGTACATGTAATTTATACACACAGTAGTAAATAGTGGAAAACAATGCAGTAAACAGGCTAAACAAAGCGCATACATGGCACACACGTACATGCACACGCGCAGGCATTCAAACCCCGAGTAACGCGATTGCTAAACCGATCCATCGGTTACTTGGATCCAACCGATGATCGATTACGAAATACAACCGGATTGACAACACCTACTCACTACAGCAGTGTACCGCGCAGGCAACCTCAAAATGACTCTGAAAGTTCACATGCATTGTTTAGGCGCAAAATTTTGGTATTTTGGTTGGTTTACGAGATTCCGTCGACCCAAAATTTTCAAAAAAAAATAGCGGGAAAAAATAAAATTGAAAAATCTAGTATTTTCCTTTATTCCCACGCGACCTTTTTCGAGCACAATAGTGAATAAAAAAATTAAATGTAAAAACAAAAACATTTCATAAACAAATAGTTTAATAAATAATAAGTCAAAACTAAGTTACAAGTTGAGTTTGTTTTCATTTAGTTTTCTTGAAAATACTTTAATATCATGTGTATATCAGTTATCACATGTATATGTTTTTTTGTTTCTTTTTTTTAATTGAGTCAACACAACAAAAAAGATCTGTAAACCAACAAATAAAAATGGTGCCTTAAAATATGGAGAAATAAGTAGTACGCGTGGGGGGTCGCGCCTAGGTGGTTACGGCCACTCGAGTACAGAAATAAAATGAAAACATCGTACCAAATTTTAGCCATTAAAACGCTTTACTGTATCCCTTAAGGTCAAAACGTTAACAGATGCCTCCTTATGGGGGCAAGTTTTTTGCCGTTGGGTTATGTCTTTATAGCCAACAATAAGTTGGAAAAATGAGTTTTGCGTCGCTTGTGGTTGTGTGTGTGTGTGTTGGGGTAAAAACAAATATTTGTCATTATACGCTCCTGATATTGATTGCAAGAGGGCTAATAATACCTAGAGTGTACAACGGGAAAAACGGGAAGAAATAGTCTATTTCACGACTACATTATTCTACTTGCCTGCGAGTCTAGGTAACTAATTTCATGGTATTGCATTTAAGCAGAAATTCCTTGCTCTGCTACAACAAGACCAACCGCTTTGTCAATACCGACTATCTCCTAGGCTGAAGATATCCGGCTCCTAAACCTCCCCCTCGCACATGCCTTACGCGGCTTATGCCTATCCACATGATCAATCTCATGGACCACGCTACAACGCGTCTAACGCATTGCTTCCGTGAAAGTTCGGTTCCCTTTCGCGATCAAATTTATCGATGTAACCCGGTTGCTCTCGCCCTCCGATGCCTTATCTTCCCATTTATCTTTTCTAGCAGCTAATGCCCGTCATGCATGGAGCCGGCCTCCATCAAGTTTTTTAGCAACGCAGACTCCAGTTACTCACTGTAGTAAGAGTAGCCAAATTTGGTCATGGTGACATCAATTATGCCAGTTTGCCGCTCCAAGCCTGGTGACGGAATCGCATGCCAAAATGCTTAGAGCGTGGAGCGGTTGCGCTCGAATTATGTGGCATACAAAGCCGCGTAAGGATGGTGGGAGGCGGAGGTTTAGGACAGCCGATATCTCAGCTAGCGCGCAGTATCGTATTGACAGCGCGTTTGGTCTTGTTGCTAGAGACGAAAGGAATTCTGCTTAATGCAATACCATGAAATTATTCTAGACTCGCAGGCAAAGTAGAATAATGTAGTCGTGAAATAGCACTATTTTCCCGTTTTTCCGTTGTACACTCTAGGTATTATTAGCTCTTGATATTATCTCTATTATCCACTCTTGATTATATATATCATATATAGTTGTTTACAGTAATATCATGTACACAGTACGTTGTCTGTAGTACAATTGAAATGTCGCCATTGATTGGCTGCCTGATAGCGCTCTCAACCAACGAGCGATACCGTTTGAAGGAGATTAGGTCTTGGTGTATTTCAATTTTTTTGTGAATGAAAACGAACAAAAGACTGATATACTTGTGTCAACTGTACAGTTCCAAGAAGTGGTCATGTACAGTAAGCATAAATTTTTTAACTGATATCATAACACCTAACACATAATTTTTCAGTATTTTATCACTTCTAAACATTAGAAAAAGTAATGGAATTCTGTTAAATAAGGTAATTGAAACTTGAAAGTCATTGAAAAGCCATGGAATTTTGTTTCCAAAAAGCTTCAGGGACCCTGTATGTGTATGAGTGTGTGTGTGTGTGTGTGTGTATGCGTGCGTGTGTGTGTGTAGGAAGAGTCACGTGATTAGCTACACGTCTAGATGTAATTCGTATATGTTTGTACGAATTGCGCACGTCATGAGATGAGATGTGAATTTCTGTCTCGCAGCCAATGTCCTGGCGGTAAGGAATGCTGTAACAACGTCTCACAGGGAGGTTGCTGCAACCCGCGTCAGCCTTCCCTGCCCACATACGGCTACAACAACGACCACAACACGTACTACGGCGTGCATCACTACACACTCCTCAGCTTCTGGAACATGTGGTACTTCTGGTAAGTCGCACTTGTTTACGTTACGTTCGGTTTCGATTGTGAAAGTAACACGAATATGGCAGATTTTTTCCAATAGATGGCAGGGTGCGAAATTAACGGGAGTCCGGAGTCAAATACTCCCTGATTTACTGTCGGACTCCCTGATTTGACATATGCAAGAGTCCGTGTGACTCCCTGAAAATTTCTGCCATACTAACTAGTTCGTTACAGCGCACGGCCTCGCGGAATTGCCGTATTTTTTCAGCAAATGTCCAAAGAAAATTTGGCAGACGTGCAATCGCATGAATTTTCAAAATAAGCACATGCGTTTGTTAATATCTTTAGCAGTTTAGTTTTGAACTTCAGACTGCTGACTCCCTCTTTTTGACAGCAGGGAGTCCGTTGGACTCCCTTGCTCAAAAGTTAATTTAGAACTACCCCTGAGATGGTGTTGAATAGTAACATTGAATGTTAGGTGCAGAATGTTACAGCGTAGAATGGCATACGTCAGAGTGAAATGATAAATGGCTACTCATTGATAGTCAGGTGACCATGTACACTATCAAAAACATGAACACGTTGTGTAAAGATAAAGAGTATATATTATATTATTACATAAAAAAGCAAAATGGACTACTTACATATTACTATGTACACCACTTCATACTTTTTCAATTCCATGTATAAAGTCGGCTACAAGCTAATAGAAAACAAGTTATATTCATCGTACATGATATAACAACATGAATAAATTTGTTTTCCCAAAAGACAACTTAAATCGATAAGATTCAAGACTCGACCTCTATGCTTACAATTTACATGCAGTACAAACAATAAAGAAATTTACATTCGTAACTAAAAACCTCAACGCGTCCAAGCGTGAATGAGGCCATGAGCGTTCTACGATTGTACACAACAAACCCGACAGCCGAGAGAAATGAATGAAGGGTAACAATACCTAAGAGAACTACTATGTAGTAATCACTAATCCACGGTGAGAAAGCATTTCAGAATTCGTCTATCCGTGTGTGCACGAGGAAAACGTTGCAATTTGACCATTGCGAAACGTAACAATGGTCAAATTGCAGAATTTTTTTGACCAGGATAACACATGAACACTATATATATAAGACACCTGAGCGCAGACGCATGGTTTGTGCTGTGGCACCGTGAAATCGTACGATTTCGTGGCACGCACGCTTCACGAACAACACGTTCACCCCACGCAACAGCTGGTCGAATAACAAGCTGACGATTCCATCCGACGTCCCAGCGTCGCTCCCTCGCTCCTTACTCTCCCGTCGGGTTGTCGACCCATGGGTAGCTGTCCGGGCACCTGGCGCACGTCTGGAAGAAGCGGTCGCCGGGATGCTCGTCGTCGTTGGGCGCGTGCGTGATGTTCAGGTAGCCGCAGAGGTTCGGGTGCGCGCAGAGCGGTGCGCGGTCGGCGTAGTCGCACGAGAACAGCGTCGAGCGGCCGAGGTCTGCGAGCCGCACAGGGTCACGCATCCACTCCAGTGCCTGGCTGTACGTGACGAAGTAGATGTCGTCGCGGCCGGCGAGATCGTCCATGAACTCCTGCAGTGCCTCCATGTTGTGCTGGCCGTCGTCGAGGAACCAGCGTGCGCGCAGGTTGAGCGGGAACGGCGCGCGGTTCGTCTCGTAGTGGCGCGCAAAGTTGGAGCGCAGCAGTTGGAGCGCCTCGTCCTTGTCCTCGGGGAAGTAGCAGCTGTCGACGTTGGCGCACAGCGTGTCGTTGGTGTCGATCCAATCGACGAGCGGGAACTCCCAGAAGCCGCGGTGCGGCGCGGTCGGGCACGGCGGCACGGGGCAGTCTCCGTCGGCGGTCTGGTCGAACGTCTTGTAGTCGAACGTGTAGGGCCACAGCGGCGGGCTCATGCGCGGCGTTGGGTACGATGAGTCCCACGCAAAGCCGGCGTTCTGCGCGAAGTCGACCGTCGTGTCTCCGCTCGTCTGCAGGTAGGCAGCGCGCATGCCGACAATGCGTGACGGCGGCACCGACGCCAGCTGGCTGAACTGTATGCGCTGGTTTGCATACTCTGCCTGCAGCTCGTTCGCGTCCGCCTTCTCCCAGTATGCGGCCGGCAGTTGCTTGCTGTAAAGAGGGGGAAAACGTGGCACGCAGGAGGTGAGTCGGCGCGGCGGCCCTACGAGAATTCGCAATTCGGAGGTTCCGCGGTTCGGAAATACCGAATCCGATCGGAGTTCCGATACCAAAAGTTTTTGCGCGCTCAGGAGCGATCGAACGAAATCGCAGTACAACGAAAGCCGATCGCAAATCTGCATGATCGCTCGAAACCCTCACCCCCCACATAACCCCATCCCCCCACCCACTCATACACACACACATACACACACACACTCCACAAAACCACCACCACCACCACCACAGCCGACCGTTCCGATTTGGAGGAATGCGGAAATGGTCACTAGCCGACAACATGGCGACGCGAGCGGAGGCTGGACAGCGCGCGGGCGTTGCCGCGGCTACGGCGTCCCCACCACCTACCTGATGGAGTGAGCGGCGATCTCGTTGCCCTCAGCGTACATGGACTGCACGGCGGCGTAGTCGGTGAACTGGTGGCTGACGAAGAAGGTTCCCGTTATTGGGCAGCCATTGGGGTTCCTCCGCGGCTCGCGCCTCCTGTTCGGCGTCACCCGCTTGAAGATCTGCAAGCGAGCAAAGTTTGTCTGACGTTGCCAATCATTGCTGGGTACATCGTCATTTCTCGACGAAGAAGTTTGCCTCGCTTTCGTACGGGGTACATCTCGGTTGTTTTGTCGATAATCGATGCAAGCTGCTACTCGAGAGGTTTTATCTTGCTTTTTTTGATGAGCACGGAATTCTGTTTAGATAGATGACGAGGACTCGAGAGACCTTACTCACAGTATGAGGGGGCTGTCGCAGGTTTACCATGGTGACAACTGAGAGGGTGATGCTTTATAGCTAATGTGTGTGTGCGTGTGTGTGTGTGCGTGTGTGAGTGTGTGTGTGTGTGTGTGTGCGTGCGTGCGTGCGTGCGTGCGTGCGTGCGTGTGTGTGTGCAGGACCAGGAGTCTATAGCAGCGTTACCATGGTGACAACACAGAGGGCACCGCTGTAGTCGATTCGAAAGCATGTGGGATGAAGAGGCTGTTGCGATGCGTACATACCTGCTGGTAGAGATGGTTGTAGTCCTCGACGCGCAGGGCTTCATCCCAGCCGATCAGCACCATCTGCGGTATGTCGTTAGCCACGAGTCCGCCGGGTATCTGGGTGTCCGCACACTTGCAGTCGGGCAGACGGCAGCTACACGGGGAGAGGAAACCACAATTCGTTTGTCAAGTCTTGCAATGCAAATCGTCGGGTTTCTCGGTTGAAACCATAATCGATTTAATGCCACGATAAATCAGCAGGTCGACAAAAGCGGCAGCAGGTCGCAGATAAATTCATATTCGAATGATCTTGGTGCGTTTGCTTTGCGACAGCAGGCGGCTAGGCAAAACTCTCGGGTGAGTCAGTCTCGGGACCTCTCGTGAAATTAAACCTGATAATCAACTAGTGGCTTTCATGTGGAGGTGCGCTTTTGATGCACAACGGTTTGCCGGAATTATCTGAAGCTTTGCCAGGTATGAGCAGTTACAAGCCTTGTCAACATGCAGCGGTTTTGACAGCTTGCCAGCCTGGCATTACATTTGCGCTCGTACCACATGATTTCCCAATAATTACTCTGGTCTACATAGGAGGCTCGATTCGTCGGAATGGATTATGATGGGGATTATAATTACGAATCGATTCTCTCCTCATCTTAGGACCTTAGTGCGAATACTTGCCTGTTGGCATCACAGAAGGCAGCACATCCCTGCTCGTCAGATTCGTCGAGGCAGTGCACGATACCGTCGCACACCCCCTTGTAGGGAATGAGCTCTCCGGTCTCGCGGCACTCCCACTGCTGGTCGAGGCCGACTGCAATTGACGAAGCCGCGTGTTAATCACTAGTGCGCTAATTAGTTGTCTAATTAGTGTATAATTGGTTCTAACAAACGCGCCAACTGCACTTGTACGATTGTGGTTGCGTGGAAGAGCAACGTGGCGTCGACGGCTCTCAATATTTCTTGTTCGTTTGCGTTTTTAATTATTAAACATAAGGGAACGCAGAAGAGAAAGTAATTAGCTGGTTACAGAGGTTGCTTAGAAAGGTCATCGATAGTGTATATTTTCACTGACTTGCTCGTGAACAATTGTCACATCTAACATCAGGAAATATATCGAAAAGATCTTGTTGTCTTTCCTTGCGAGATGTTGTGACACTGCAGAAGATTATAAGGGTGTCAATGATCACAATGACTTCAGTGATCAGGCTGGTCGGAGACAGGTGGCGCCACTTACTGATGTATATCTCGTATCAGCCGGAAGTCGGCAGGTGCTAGGGTACGGCCAGGGGGCGCCACTTGTCGATGTATATCGCGTTGTAGGTTTGCGTCAGGGGTCAGGGCGCCACTTAACCTACGTTGGTCTCGTCTGCACCAGGGCTCGGTGGAGGGGCAGGGGCTGGGCGGGGATAATGAAGGATACTCACTGTTGCTGAGCTCTTCCAGGCCGGGAGGCAGCAGGGGTTGCGGAGCCCGGTAGCCGCAGATCTCATTGGAAGCTGAGAACTTGCCCATGCAGCGCTGATCGCGTGGCGACCAAATGGTATCTGCAGCGCAGCGCCTGACGGAATAGAAAGAGAGAGAGCGCGTTTAAATACAATAGCTGTTGTGGCGGACAGGGGGAGAGCGCACACGATTCCTGCAGATAGAGCCTTAAATGCTAACAAATTTTACATTTTTAACGTGCATGAGTGCGTGTGTGCGCGTTACAGGCGGATGCATCTCTCTCTCTCTCTATATATATATATCCCAATATATATATAGCAGGGAAAAGAGAGGGGAGTGTGTGTGTATGTGCATGTGCGCGCGTGTGTCTGTGTGTATGTGTGTGTGTGTGCATGTGCGCGCGTGCGTGCGCATGTGTGTGTGCGCGCGCGCGTGCGTGCGTGCCTACCTGATCTTCGGCCACAAATGGTCGCAGATATAGAAGATCTGGCAGTCGTTGGCGTCCGTTGAGAAGTTGGCACCGTTGAGACACTCCAGCTCGGCGGTGAGAGGTACTCCGAACCGCTTCTCGACGGGGCCTGCAAGGGCTGCGGCACAGCGATGAAGCAGGTTAATGAATGGCTGATTCAACTCACACTGTGTAATGTCACGAACCGTGTTATATGCTGCATCATAACAAACAGTATAGCTATAGGTTCATGATAATGTGCGATATATATATATATATATATATACATATATAAGAGAGAGAGGGAGCGAAAGAAGCCGCGTGTGAAATTTCCTCCCATAATACTATAATCGTGTCATATACCACCAGGACTGCTCGTTTTCTCGCCGCACACCCCTGCTGCGATAGCGTGTCACTCACCCCCCCCCCCACCGCCGGGGGCTGACGCAGAAATAGCGTAGTAAAGTCTAGGCACACGCGACTCAGATGTGTGGCTGCTGACGGTACTATGATGGATCAACGAGAACTGCGAGCTATTTTATGTAGGCCTATATGAATATGATAGTTATACGGCACGTGAATTATCGCGCATGGCGTTTTATTGGGTGAATGCCGCACATGTAGCGTGAGACTCACTGAGTAGCTTACACCTCCATCGTACCGCTGCCGTGCTGTGGCTACGAATGCAGCTCACACGCTATATACAGGTTAGCCGCTATAAGCAGGTTAACCGCAGTTCACATGCCATGGACAGGTTAGCTGCCGTTTATTACCCAATATAGACAGTTTAGCCGCTATAGACAGGTTATATATCAGCGCATCTACTAGATTTACTCCGCTGGCTATGCACACAAAGTATATAGCCTGAAAGCACTTTATGTGGAATCGTCATAAACTACCTATGTGGACGGGTTAGCGACGAGGTTTTCAAACATTGACTGCATAATCTCATCCCTAATGCCCTCTACGCTACCCGGACCTACCCGCTTATGAGTTGATGCCCTCCTATGTAATCCCATAGCCCCACGGCGTGGGCGCTACATTGGGAACAACTGAATATAGCTGATATCAAATTATGCGCACGCAAGTGCTAGTGCTGCTGCTACTACTGCTACTGCTGCTACTACTGCTGCTGCTACTGCTGCCACCGCCGCTGGTGGCTGAATGTGGAGATGGCTACATATGAAGAATCTCTGCTCCAGACGAAGATCGGGATATCTCATGTAATTACGTATGTAGCGTGGTGAGAACTCCGGCTAGAGCTGAGCTATGCCTGCTACACGGAGTGCGACAATATAACTAACTAATGTGTGGCAGACATCCAAGCGTTGATGATACCCTTGTCGCTTCAAATACACGCAAGTTGATCTGACCAGAGTCACATAATTACAAAGACGTGGTAATTGTCGCACGAGTGGCTTATGGCATGACAGATATTTTATTCGCGGACTATTTTAGTAGCGTGGAAAGCAAAACACTATCCCGGTAAAAAAAACTGGCAGTTAATTATATCTGTAGGCATATCGCGTACTAAATACGAAAATGAGAAAGCGGGAAGAGTCACGTTGCAGGCAGGTTCGCGTGCGTGTGTGAGGGATTGAAGAATGGATATTCTAAACATAACGCTATAATATATTATCAAGAGTTCATAATAGAACATTTTTATTATGGACTCTTGATATTATGTGAATGAATGTGATAGCGAGTAACTAGTGAAAGGATCGAGATAAACACACATACAGAGAGAGAGGGGGCAGAGAAAGAGAGAAATAAAGAAAGGAAAATAGACAGACAGAGATAGGGAGGCAGTCAGAGAGGGAGAGAGAGATAGATAGAGGGAGAGCTGAGGGGAGAGAGTGAGAGATAGATAGATAGAGAGAGAGAGAGCGAGAGAGAGAGAGAGAGGAGGGAGTGAGGGAGGGAGAGAGAGAGAGGAGAGGCCCGTGAGTAAAATTCGGTGGTGGTTCGATGACTGGCTGGACAGAAAGTGTATAGCTGGAATTATCAAATGGTCGGATACAACTGCGTTATTAGGCGCGTTCACACACAAGAAAAACCGCGCTGCTCAGCCCGCTAATAGCGGGGATAATAGTGAGCGAATTGTGTCGTTGTTCACACAGGCGAATATCTCGCTAATCGCCGCGGTGCAAATATCACGCCGCGGTGCAAATAAGCACGCTGATTCCAAATTAGTGCATTCGGAAGTATTCTTTGCAGCGCGCTATTTTGAGCGCGATTTAGTGAGCTAATTGCGTTCACACTTGTAAAAAAGCTCATTTTTTTGGAGCGGGCTGCAAAAACCGGGTTTTGCAGCCCGCTAATTCGCGCCAGTGTGAACGCACCTATTATAGGCGACTGGAGGTTAAGGTTTCTTAGAAAGGAAGCACAATGGCAGATGACGAGTGCGAGACACAAGACGAAAGAGGCAGTGTAAGAGGGGAAGAAAGTGGTGGCAATGATGGGAGAACCCGCGTTGAACACGAGTGGTTAGAAGTATCGAAGAAGAATAGATGAGAAGAATTATGACTGCTAGGCACGCTAGTGAAGACACTGTGATGAAATAGGGGGACAGAAATGAACACATGCGCTTGTGTTAGGTATTAATCCGACTCCAGCGATTTGTTGATGCGAATTCTACACGGCTGTTGCTCGTACTTACCCACGTAGAGGCTGGCTGCGATTAGAAGGATCTTCATCATGTTAGAAGATGAGGGAGGCTGCGGACGTAAGACACGATGCCGGTGGTGCGACGGCCGACGTCTTATATATGCTAGCTGCTCTCGTCTGCTCCCATTCCACCTGATCGTAACTCTCGCTCCCCGTTGGTCGTCGACGTCTCTGAATCCGGTACTACCCCCACCACCCCCCCACCCCCCCGCCGCCGCCAGCCACATCAGCGCACCTCCGCGTGCGCATGCCCAGATAGCCGACGAGTCGCTTCTACGCGAATGTATTTTTGATTATTTTCTTCTTTTGAATTGTTGCCAAAGGTTGCCGACAAATGAGTCGACGGATGACGAAGTACGGGCGCGGGCGACAGTGCGTGCGGTGTCGGTGTGACTGGCGGGGGGGCGGGGGTAGTTTATCACACACAGACTTATAGTTTAGGATTACAACATCGCGGGCGCGCGATCTCATTGTAGAGTGCGATCGTTTATTACGCTAAAGTAGGCTAGCGGAACCTAAGGTGTGCGTGTATATGCGTGCGTGCGTGTGTGTACGTGAGTGTACGTGAGTTTGTTGCAGAACATAACATAACTATTTATTATCTCATTTATTTAATATTGCTTCTCTTACCCATCGACTCTTTAGAGTTAGAAGAAAGAAATGAGTGCCAGAACCAACCACAAGTACCCACATCTCCTGCCCCACACGCGAGCACGCACGCACATGCACGCACGCACGCACTCTCGACAGGTAAAGCATACGTTCACGGAGGGAGGGGAGAAGAACTACGTTTGTAAATTCCCCACTTCCAGGCCCTTCTTATACCTGAAGTGGCACTTTCTTGATATCTCGCGTGCAGTTTGCAACACGTACTTAATTTTAGATATGTGAAAAGAAGTTTTAGAGTATTGTGCGGTATTTTGTATCCGGTTATTGCGCGCACGTCGCTGCATATGAATAAGAGAAGCATCTATCGTAAGGACAGGTTTAACCTTGATAATACACTTGTTCGTGCGTGTACGTGCGCATTTGAACACCGATTAACAATAACATATTCCGTAGGAATGGTAACACGATAGATCCTACTGTGCGAATTAAAGAAGGCGTGAGAGAGAGAGAGAGAGAGAGAGAGAGAGAGAGAGAGGGAGGAAAAGAGAGAGAGAGAGAGAGACTATGAGGAGGAGATGGGGGGGTTGAATGGGACGTGAATGCGAGTAAACGAGAAACAAAGGGAGAGAGATACACGGGGAGACAGACAGAGCAGGAGAAAGGCGGAGAAAGGAGAAGTAGCGGTAAGAAGGGAGAGGCGAATGTAAGGAAGCTTAAAACGGTGAGAGCGATATATAGACATAGAAAGAGAGAAGGGGAGGGAGGGAGAGAGAAGGAGAACGTGAGGTAAGAAGAAATTGAGGGTGAAATGGAGAGAGACCGCGGGAGAGGGAGGGAGGGCGAGAGAGGTGGAGATGAAGAGAGACAGAGGAGGTGGGAGGAAGAGAGAGAGAGCGTTTGTAGGAGTTGAGCGTATGTCTGGCGGTTAACTCTTTCGTTGTCAAGTTCGTTTGCACATGTGATGATGTAACAGGGGCAGGGTGAGGGCGGCGCTCGCACGTGCGTGCGCATGTAGCGTTAAGCAGGCAGCCAGACCACGCGCCACGCGTCTGCTGCCGTGCGCGCTACCTCTCCCACATCTTCCCATCGTCGGCAGCGGCAGCCTCCGCCACAGCGTCGGCAGCAGGAGCAGCTGCCGCACCGGTGGCATTACTACCACCAGCAGCAGCAGCGGCGGCGGCGGCGGAAGCGTCGGCAGGTATGCCCGTAGTCTTGTGGTCAGTGTCGCCAGGGTCGTGTAGATGTACGACTGTGTCGGTTGAGCAGGAACAAGGAAGTTATACGGGCAATCAAGTTACTTCTATACATACATGCGTGCGTGCGTGACACCTATTCTCGTCGAAGTGATGCGGAGTTTATAGGATGGTTGGCGAGCGCTATAGTGCGTGCAGCTCCCGTATAGGTATTCTTCACACCTGCGTGCGATTCCCTCCGTAGCAACCTATGAGTATGGACCAGCCTCATTCTCACAGCATCACTGTTCCTCTCCTTTATTCCCCCGCGACAAACATCCCCGATTGCCATATAGGTTTGTCCCGTTTATTACCTGTACAACCTTGATTGGTCGCACCGATTTTTTAGTATGGCCCAAGAACTATTTATACTTACATGTTTGCGAGCGAATGCTAAGGTCGTCGTAATAAAGTATGCAGGAGTAAACGTATTCCCCCTGAGCGTAGTACCGATAGTTATTGTTCCGTCGTGTCACACTACGGAGCACTCGTCGTAGTGATGTTGCCCCACCCGCGAAAATAACCTGAGGCGAAAGAAATGCCACGGAGAGTTTACGCTTTCGTAGGTACGTGCTAGCGGGTGTTGTTGTGGGTGCGTCGCTGCATGTTTGCGCGCGGTTATACTAGGCGGCTCTGTTAAGATAAGGCTCTCGGCTCCTCTCTCGCCCTTCCCCCGCCGCCGAAGGTCACGGGGCGGCCTCTCTCTTTCTCTCTCTCTCTATCTGACGTTCCTGCTCGGTCGTCCCGACCAGCAACTGGGGCAAGGACTCTGTCGCGAGCAATTATAGGAAACTGTTGTAGCGATTGTCGTGATGACACGGCGGGCTCGTGGTGGCTGGCAGGATGGTTGGCTGGCTGGCAGCGCTCCCCGCTATCCACGCCTGGAGCAACATTAGTTTACAACCGTTTACACACGCACATACGCGCACTCTCTCTCTCTCCCTCCCTCCTTCGCTCTCTCTCTCTCTCTCTCTCTCTCTCTCTCTCTCTCTCTCTCTCTCGTTCTCGTTCTCTTTCTCCTTTTCACTCTCTTCCTCGCTCTTTCTCTTTCTTTCTCCATCTCTTTGGGTTAATCTGGTCGTTTCGCGCGGCATAAGATAATAGCGCTAACAATAGATGCAGCTAATGGCTTCGCAATCGTTGCCAATTTAGCATCATCATCATCGTCATCACCACCAGCACCGGGCAGGGCTGCGGCGGAGGCTGCGAATAAACATGATGCCGTCATTGTTACGGTTTGTAATGAACCCATTCCCGGCGCTCAGGAACAATGCTTTGCGTTAACTACCGTGCCGCCATGCACGGAACGCACGCTGATACAAGGAAAGTGTGTCGCACACTGCCCCGCCGCGATGTCATAATGGTCCCGTCGTGAATCGGATATATCATATATTATGATGACAGCGCGCCGTAAATTTAACCTGCCGCCATCCTCGCTTCTCCCCGTCCACCACCCCCGCCCCGCCCCGGTCCTCTTACCCCGGCCCCGTAAGATTTACGACAACTAGGCCTACGCGAACTCGCATATGTTACTAAGTCCGCGACGAAGGGTCGTAAATAACAATACAAACAAACAAACAAACAAACGGCGCGCTGCTGTCATATATATTATTGTCACAATAAAATGGTGTTAAACTCGATTCCCGCTCTGCCGTCACAAAGGCGCGACGTCTACTATTATGAGGTCGGTCTCGTGTGAGAGTGTATTAGCCCATTTGTCGACGAATTGTTCAATTTGTTGCTACCGACGATCAGAGCAGCTTATAAGACCATTGTAAATTTATATGACCATTGCTTTCATATAAGCGATGATTGCTTGCATATAAGTGAACACTGCCTGCCCATATCAGTGACCAGTGCTTTGATATTTTCTGTGGTGTTCTCTTTGTCGTAGATCGGGTCCTTACGTCCTGCTCTAGTCCTTATTGAGTATACGCAAACGTCTGGTCCACTTTCAATATCTTACTCACTTCGCAGAACAATCTTACGTGGCTGACTCGGTGGCGTTTACCGAGCGTTCACATGACCCTGTTAACTACATATATATACTGGATGGACTTTCGCTGCAGTATAAAGTGTATAGTAATTGAATTATTGTCCGGGGAGAGTCATTGTAAACCCAGTCATCGCTAGATTGCGGCTTGAAGTGTTAATTCTGTAACCCATGACACGATCTACATTCTGATTTCTCTTTCACTCTCTCTGTATATGTGTAGGCCTATAGCCGTTTCAGTGACTGGTGACGGGGCACCGACGTCATTGGTCCCTCGTTAGTAGTCAGGCAGCAGTACGGACGTCACTGGTCTTTGTCATGTTGGTCAGCCTTTTGATATAGGTTACACGGTGAATTATTAATAACACGACGGTGGGTTATGATGCCATAACGATATGACGTGGGAATTTTTTGCCGACTACCTGGGTCATTTTTGAGAAACGTGAAAATTCGTCGAGATATTGGGGGGGGGTAGATGTGAGTGCGTGGAGGGTGGATTGAAACCCCGTGTGTGCCCCGCCAACAAAAGTCGGAGCAATTGCACTGCTAATTAATCAAAAAGAAATAGCGGCCTTGTCTCGCGAAAAGAAAGTTAAGAAACACCGTCTTTTGATACAACCGGTATTTATTTTCCGCATACCGGTAGAAGCATCGGCCAATCAAATTCATTGTTTCAAAAAGTGTGTTTACCAGCGCTAACTTTTCTCAAATGCGCGTTTTGATAGGTCCAAAATGGCATTGGTACTCTCCGAGTGGGTTCAATTCAATGGTAGTGTAGTTTGTGAGTATAACTATTTATAAACAATACACTTTGCATTCTGCATGCATGCAGGATTTATGTGATTGATGTATTGATGATTTGATGTATGCATTATGCATGGATCAATTTGAAAAGTTTCCGATTAAAACTTGGGTATTTTGTCCTTTGTAAATTGTGAATAATTGTACCTCCAGAAGTCATCAGATGCGATCTCAGAGCCTCTAAATTGCAAAAATTTTCCAGGGGGAAGCCCCCTGCCCACGCGTCGAAGTCCTGAGCCGACCCTCTTTCACACCAACCCCCAAGACGACTTCGGCATAATGTGTTCAGTTTTTTTCTAGGTCATTTATTCCCATGCCTGGGTTATAGTCAGGTGTCGTTCAGGTATGTGCGTTCGCGTGTTCACAGTATATCACTTCCCACATAGATCTCAGTCTATGTCGCTAGCCTTCACTCCCTGATTTTTGTTCGCAAGAT